AATATATCATTTCATTTATAAATGTTCATTAAATTTTTTTCTGCACTTACACCAATTCTAGAAAATAAACAGTGTTCCATTGTTCGCGTAAAAATGAAGCTGATACATTGTATCAGATACATATAGAAAAATATAGATATTTTTGTTAATTAAAGGAAATGTTGGTATATTCATTAAACGCGATGAACAGTGCTTTTTCTACAAAAACAGTGAATACAAAATACAGAATGCTTCTTTCAAATCCTGAATTAAGTGAGATTAAATTCTACCATATAATTCTAACTTCATTATTTTGCGAACATCTGGACACATATGCGTTAAATATACAATTTCAATCATATAAGCAAGTATGTTGAAAATGTATAATGAAACAAAATTATTAATTTAATTAAGAATAATACAATGGAATTATTTAAGCGATAATTACTGAACAAAATTTTAATCTTGCAACTCATATCTAACTTACTTAGGATAAGCAGACAAATATAGTTCCCCTTTGTCAATCGTTAAATGTATGAAACTGTTTCTTTGTAAAAATTGTAAAAATTGTAAAATGCATGAATATTCTTAAAAAGGAAATGCCGATTGACATTATGACTATCAGCAAAGCTTCTTTTAAAAAAATTATTAATAATTACTATCATCTTAAGGAAGTTATTTTTATTTTATGGAATTGCAGCGATAGTCGTTGATATGAAAGATATTCATAACATATATTAAACAATAAACTCAGCAACAATTTCCTCAAAGATTATAACTAAAACGTTAAAAAACAGTTTCGGGTTTTATTTAGAATATCTTACACGTAAAAGGAAAAGACTTGACAAGTGGGGAACGATATGCTATAAAATATTTACAATTTTTTTTTTTTTATATAAATCAAGGTACAATTGTAAATTGTTTTACGTACAAAGAAAGCTAATGCATTTTACATTATTCTTCATTATCAGATCATGTTGGTTCATTAAATTTGACAGTCGAAGAAATAAAGACACCGCGTTAGACATTTTTTTTTTTGAGAAATTTCTAAAACACCTACAGAAACCAACATAAGATTATACATTCTGCGAAAGTCCTCGTAAAACAGTAAAACGCGCCGATTTATCATTAACAGGAAAATGCATATTAGCTACAGCTGTGTTTGGTTTTCTGCGGTGCACGAAGCCTACGCAAATATTTTCAGTGATTATCCAAACCAAATGGTTAAAATTTCACAACTAAATTCAAATTGTACATACGTATGTACTTCAACAATATTAGAAGATGACATAATTATTTTTGCAGCCATAAAACTGCATAACTGTCTCATCTGCAAATAAATCAAGATATTCAATCAAGTAATCAATTAGCAAAAGACATTGTGTTGTTAGAATACATATCTCTTTTGCAAGATGAGTATAAAAGGCATACTATGACACCAATATTTTTACGAACCACAATGCACGTCATATTAAGCGTATAACATAAATTGAAGAACCCTGTTCGATATAATATACTTCTGCAAATCACGATTACAGTCTCACGATCTCGTTAGCTGTAGAAAAGCAGTATATAAATACAAAATAAAGGAAATGATCGTGATATCAATGTTATTTTATAGTCTACAGCACAATGAAAATCTTATTCAATGATTTCCTATTCGGGTTACACTTAAAAAATATACTACAAATGGAAAAAGTCCTTATAAAATTTCTTATACCTTGGGAGCGCTTAAATGTTTGATATCGAAGTCATTAATCTTGTAATCTTTTATTTCATTTATTATATATTACTTCTCTTTTCAGATAGTTCCTCCTTCATCGTTAGTATGCAATAAAATATAAATAATAAAATTATAGTAGACACAAATATTTTTGCACAGTGAAGAAAAATATGTAGAGAAAAATTTTTCTCAATTATTATGTAAAAATAAATATTAATATCAACTGTGTCTTGGACACGGTTGACATTATGGACAGCTGCATTATCCAATATCAGTCCAAACAGATTAAGCAGATTAGACATTTTTAAGTCTTTATTTGTTACCAATTGAGATTGGAAAAGTAAAACTAAAATGGTCAAATATTTTATTTTAATTCGACACTGTTATCCATTTGTTATTTCTTATCTTGAAATAAAGTTACTTCATAAAGAGCAAGAAACTTATACCGTACAGGGTTACCGCTAAAAATCTCGAATACTTTTTAGACCACAGTGCTCTTGATTTTCGACTGACACTTTCGATAATAGTCACCAAGCTACGAGAGGAACGGATTCGCTGTAGTAGTTGTATTCGCTGCCCAAGGATCTTGTCGAATCTGATTAATTGTAGGACGGGGCGGTGGTGTTGCCGTCGCAAACGGATTTGCCGAGTATGACATGGTCGCTGTAAATTTTTATTAGTATTAATAAATATTTGAATCGTTAAATTGTAACGGTTAACATATTCCATGCTATGTTTTAACCATCTGATCAAATACTGATGCAAACCAATCAAAAATATAAATAAACAACTTTTGCTTCTAATATGTCTATGATAGACAATTTGAACGAAATATGGAAATAAAAATATGAAAACGATGCGATACGGAATGTGTTAAACTAGTCCGAAAATTTTGTTTCACAATATACACAGTTTCACAACAATATATCATAATCTTCTTAATATATCATCATTTTTTAATTGAAAATAAAATCCATTTCAAATATGAGTTCAATATCACTCTTGAACACAATACCTGAATCATGCATTCATGCAATATTGTTCACAACCTTGAAAGTACTCACAAATTTACTTCCAATGAAACGCTATTTTGCGAACAAAATATATATAAAGCTTGGAATATATTCAAAAACATAGTCAAATTGTAATGTGGTAATTCTTTTTTAAACAAACGATTATATATACATATATATATATATATATATAAAGTTTTATAGATTTCATTTGTATTTTAAAATTAAATTTTTTATATTGTATATGACATTCTAGATGAAATGTTACCTGCAGGTGTAGGTGTTGCTGATTTGATCGCAGAAGTACTGACAAGATTATCAAGATTAACAAGAGCAGAGTTTTCTCCAAGGAACGACTGTGGTGTTTTTTTAACAGCTCCTGTACTAGTGGGAAGAGTTTCTGCTATACTCCCTAAATCAAACGGATCTGGCGACACTGTATTTACTGCAATCAATAAGAAGAATAAATTATTAATATAGTAATTAAATAAAAAGAATGACAAAATTGATTGATAAATACCGTTATTCGCAGTTTGCAGACTAGATCCTGCAGGCTTATTCCTGTTAGTAATTACATCAAATTCATCTAAATCGCTCAATGGACTGGTTGCAGAACTGCTTTGATTTCCAATAGAGAAATTGTTAAGACTAGGACCAGTACCGTTGAAGTCGTTACTAGTTGTATTGAATGTAGCGCTTGAAGTTGTAGGCAAATTAAAGCCTATGTTCTGCGGCGATTGTGCCGCGAACCCAATATTTTGTGTTAAGGTAGGATTGTTAAAAGATGGAGAAGCAGATGTCATACCTTCTCGATTCATCTAAATAATTCAAGACAAGTGTATTAATAACATATGCATATATGTGTATGTAAATCAATACAGGAGGTGGTTAAAGAAAAGAACACTTTACCGATTTTTTATTTGTATCAGCATCAATAGTAGCAGTAGTAGTACAAGGTACTGGTGACCAAGGATCCGTGTTTGGTGAAGTTGTAACTGTTACGGGCGATGACGGAGGTGCTCGCCATGGGTCAACTGCAGCAGCTGAAATCAGATTACGAATTAATCCTAAATTAATCACTAAAGTGATTTCGTAAATATTAAAATTCTTTTTCAATGAATTTTACTTGGTCTTTGCGATGAGACGGGAGTCCATGGATCTATTGCAGTTGACGTACTGCTTGTTGTAGGAACGGTCCACGGATCGTTTTGTGGCTACATAATAAAGAAGAATACGTAAATTTTAAGTGTAACTTTTAAAAAATTTTTTAATGATTTGTCATGATTTGTTAATACATAAATAATGTTTATTACATTACTCGAACATACCTTATATAGACAAAACTGAGATAAATCCAAAGACTGTTGTGTAACATGCAAACGTGGCATTTATCATGCAATAAGCAAATATATAAATTTAATTAAACATGAAATAAACATACTTGAGGTCTGGGCGGAGGCGGTGTAATTGGTATACCCCAGGGATCAGTTTTTATATTATATCCGCATGCTTCTTCTAAGTTTACATCCAATAAATCTAGCATGTGACTTTGTTTCTCAGTTTGCGGCGCTCTAAAATTAATATATTTCTTTAGGTAAAATGAACTCTGCAACAACTGGAAAATATATTAAACCTAATATAATTTCTACTGACTTAAAATCTTGCTGACTTTGACTAAGAGCTAATTGCAATCTGACATCATCACTACGTCTTCTTTGTTCTTCCTGTTCTGCCTCTTCTCTTGACATTGCCAAAGCTAATTGTAGCTGCAATTCTTCTTCACCTACTGTTTGTGGTCTTGCAGCTTCTAATTCAGCTATGAAAAACATATGAATTATAATCAATCATACTAATATATTTATATATTATACACAAACTAATATATTTATATATTAGCAGGAAAAATTATGAGCATTTACTCGTACGTCTAGTTGTAGTTTCAGATCCCAAGCGACATGGTTCCCAATCCTGAAACTGAACACGAAAGAAAACATTTTATTTTAAAATATATGTTTTTATATTATTAAACCTTCAATTTTCGTATCAATGTATACTTACATCACTGCTTACTGGTGACATAGTGTCTAATCCATCACTACCAAACCCACTAACTGATTGTGCAAATCTTTCTTTTGCTTTCAATGCTCTAGCTCTTTCGTTTCTTAATCTTTCATCGTCTTTTAATAAGGCCACTAGTTGCTTAGCTTTTTCTCTAACATTGACTCCTTGATCCTTAGATCCTTCCATATATTGGAAATCTGAGTGAAGAGAAACAAAAACATTTTGTACTGATTTATATACCACATACTACAAAATTATTTACCTTTTAAAGTCTCAATGGCAAAAATATTTTCTTTACATTGCTGTGCAACTTTTTCAGTGCCTGTTTTAATGAGATATTCTAGAAGAACTAAAGCTTTGTACACATGTCGCCAATTTTTACCATGATCATTTAATCTCTTCCATAACATTTGCATAATCTCAGTAAAAGCCACAACATTATATGTCAAATCAGCAATTTCTGCCATAAGAGTACTACTTGGACCCCAAGGATCATTACTGGTGGCTTTGCGTACAGCTTTCTATATACATATTTTATTTTTAAAATAATGCATTTGCATAATAAATAAAATATTGTTTATTTACCTGAGCATTGCTATAGTTATGGGCAAGATTAACAATATCTCGCCTGATACCTGCCAAATTCACCTGCATGACGTCTTGACCTTGTCTTCTCATCTAAAAAATTACCACTGTATATCATAAGCAAGTAGTAAAATTCCTATTTCTTCTAGAAGCCCATACTTATCATCACATATATTCACATTTACATCTAATATATGCTATGATTTATATCTAATATATGCTTTATAATTTCAAATACAACTGAAATATATAAATGCAGTTATGTTTATGTAGAAAAAATTATTTTAAATAATTTTGGCAATAAATATGGGCAATCACTTAATACCAAAGCCATGCGACTAAATATGCATTAGTAAAAAAAACAGGAAACTTATTGTGAAGTTCTTATATTACTCTACTTTTACCAAATCAACATTACCACTTTCTATTTGGTTAGTAATAAGATGGATGAAAGTAGCTAAAGTAAAAGTATGATTGATACAAAAGTAAAGAAATCCTCTTCAGTATTGTTCTTTTTTTTTTAGCATTATTTGGTATTAGTGTATAATTTGCAAATTACAAACAAAATACTGTAAAATAATACGATACATTAAGCTTTAAAGCAGATTAATTTCTTTTTGAGATGTGCCTATATAAATATGTACTCAAGATAAACAATTTTAACTAAATCAGTACATTTTATATTATTATTATTATTATTTATGTACATTAAATCATCATTATTATAATCTTTTTTTAAAAAGAAAAATTTTACCACAGCCAGTCAAGCTTCCTTATAAGAAACATGTTAAAAAACATTAAAAAACTGTTTTCGTAATAAAATTAATATTGATGATTTTTTAAAATAATTTAATGCAATACTGACTTGCATAATGTGCAAAAATTATTATTATTACATAATCCCACAAAAAATAAAACATGAATGATTCCAAATATGTGCGATAATTGTATTACTAAACACTATAATCCTGGTATTGTTTTACATATACAGGATGTTACATCCTATTATAATTATTTCTATAATTTCTAAATTACAAGAATACAGAAAATTCTTTAAAAATATGTCTGTAAAAGTTTGTAATTTTTGAATTTTTTATCAACACCCTGTATATCATTTATTAATGTAGTTCACAAAACATTTATCTACATTATTCGTTCTTTAAACATTTTCTAACAATATGATTGATTAGTAAAGTATTAACAATTGTTATTTTGTTAACTATGGCCAGTTAATGAAATTTACCTTCTGCATAGCCATTGTTGGCATATGAAATATGGCTGGGGTCGTTGATGAAGCTAGTTCTTGTCCACAAATATAGAAAACTCCCAAATCACAATAAAATCCTAGACTATTAGATAGTTTAATAAATAAAGAAGAAATATTTGTTACATTTACCTGTCAATGATGAATGAATTTTTATTTAATATAAAAATGATAATACAATTAACTAAGAGCATTTTAAGTGGAACTTTAATAACATTACTAATTATTATGCAAATAAATATTGCACAGAATACTGCATTCTTTATTTTTCTAATGTGATACATACTATAAGCATATGACTCTAAATGAAATATATACGTAACAATTTAATACAGAATACTACTAAATTATACTATAAATTTTGTACATATCATATTATATATAAGGACCATTTATGAACTAAATAGGCACAACTCATAGTGATCAGTATACAAAATTTTGTTTAGCTGAAAATATTTTTTATAAGTACTATGTATACAGGGCATATCGCTGAACTGTTACACAAATATTTCATAAAAAAATTTTATTCTATGAATATTTAATCTTACATTGCTATATGCGAAACAGCAGTCAGTAAAAAAATTTTGTTTAACTAGAGAGGAAAATGTTACAATTAGTAAAATATTATACCACATGTTAAAAAATTTAATTAAAAAAAAAGATAATTTTGTGAAAAAAAAGAAACATAAGATTAAAAACTTATGAACTTACTCAATTCCTTTATAGACAAATGCAATATTGTAAAGAAAATAATATTTCGAATTAATTAAGAGATTAAATGAATTTGCATAGTTTATAGTTTATATTTAAAATTTTTAGGCTTTTGAATACAAGCCATGCCCTTTCAATAAAGCATTCTGATAAGAAATCAGAGTTGCAGTTTTTGTGCAATATTAAGATTCAATTATTTTGGAAATATGAAACATTTGATTAATAATTGAAACTACTTTTTTTTTAATAATAGTACCTTTTGCAAGCATTTTAATAAAGGAAATTGGAATAGAAATCAAAGAAGTTTTTATATCGAAAGAAAAAGAATTTGAACCAAACTACTGTTTTAAAAAAAATAATAGATTACATGCAACAGTGAAATGGAATAAAATTACTCACATTGATAGATAAGAGGATTCAAATTTTCCTTCAAAAAAGCCTTGTTATTAAACTGAAAAATAAGAAAATGTTTTTATCTCTTTTGAATATCACTATTTATCTTATCTTATCACTACACACGTACAATAGATTTTCTACAAAATGGCATCAATATATTTATTTTAAAAATTTTGTACGGTTATAGAAAAACACAGAACTGATTTCATTCAATAAAAGTGTTTAGAAAAGAAAAAAACAAATGGTTGCTATTATAGTATACATTAATATAACAGCACATATATTGTGTATGCTCAGGATTATCATTGTATGGTTTCTTTAAGGCAGCTAAAATATATTATATCTACCAATGACTGTGGACCTATTGATTTTCATTTTCTTTATCTTACAACTTTTAATTTGCAACAAAATTCGACAAACAATAACGAATCGTTTTAGTAGAAACAAAAATATAAAGTACAAAAATATAGAAAGACATAATATAATTTAAAAAATGTAATATTAATTCATGACATTCAACACGATAGCTTGACACATCGTTCTCTCTGCTTAGGTCTGCTAAATTATTTCTTTGTCTTGCAAAACATTCGTTATTTCATTCTTCGTTGTAGGCGTTATTATTAATCGAGACGTCGAACATTGACGACATGCGTATGTTAAATGACAATTCATACACTGCACAAATATTAAATAGGTGATTCGTTCTCGGATAAATTTAAAAGAAACAACGTCGCGAAATATGTACAACACGATTATCCTTTAGATATAACTAACACAATATATATACGCTGGTTAGGTACAAGACTAATCCGTGAAAATACGTGATATGTTAATTTCGAAACTATCTATGCTTTCTCATGCTCGGGTGTGACTTCATCGTAATACCGCATTTTTTCTCCTCAATTCGTTCTGTGTACACGTACAACATTCGTTAATATAGAACGAAATGAAGGAAACGAATTAACGAGCGAAAACACACGATTAGAATGTTTAAGAACACTGTTATATCGTTGAAACAGGATCGAACTTATTCTACGGGCTATACCACTTGTAGTCACTTGTACTCGTGACGATCTGTTCCTAAAAAAAAAGAATTTAGTCGAAACTTCCTGCAGAAGTTTGTACTCACCGTAACACGTATACTGGAAATTTAATGCGACAATCTCAACGGAAATAAGAAACAAAATAACATAAAACACTTATGACAGGTCCATTCACAGGCACTGACGAATTAGAAGTTACGAGGCAAGATGGCGCTGAAAAATATTTTCTTCTTTATTGTGTCTCACACTTTGTGGCAGTATTAGGAAAAGCTTGTAACATTCGGTCCGATCCACGAGAATTCAATACAGTTTGACCTGCTCATCAATGATCGCATACCTGTTTTGCGAGGAGTATAGCAATCGACTAACGTACTACGTGGATTTTTTTATTAAAGTAAGGAATTTGTCAATGAAGAGTTGTTTCTCTTTATATAACCGTAAGGAGTGTTTCCAAAATGCGATTTTCCATGCGTGGTTATATATCGATTAAAGGCGTATTCAGCGATCAACGATCGAAAATGTGGAGAAGGTTTAATGTTTTTCCGTATGTATGAATGCAGAACGTACTTATCTAACGAGTGAATCTGGCATGCGCGTATTATCATACCGAGAGTTCAATTGTTGATTGAGAGATCCTGTTTTTGAACTAACAATACTTTGCCGATTGTATTATCCCGTAACAAGTTGAAAACAAAGTGACCAGCAAATGAAAAACATTTAACTTCTGTATGCTGTTATTGTCTCTATAGATTAAAATCTATTTACATGAAGTAGATAAAGAAATAAACGTCAGCGTTCGAACATAACCTTAATATTTACGATCTAAGTGAAATCGGTGTTGCTATTTCATAAATATCCACTTCTGGAAACAACTGTCTGTTACGAACGAACTTTCTCAAGATGAATATTAGACTTTTGAAAGATCCTGCTACTGTGAGTAGTCGTATATTTGTGGGTCACTTGCAAACCGACGACATGACCAAGGTTGAATTAGAGGAACATTTTTCAAAATACGGGACGGTTGTTGGTTCTTCCATAAATCGTGGTTTTGGCTTTGTACAATTTGAAGAAGAACAATCTGCTCAGAAAGCTATTCAAAATGAGGACGGAGCAATGTTCAAAGGCAGAAGGATAGGTATTTTCATGAATGATCCTTATTCTGTTTTATGTTTTCATATTTAGCAATGCAATTGTTTAATTTTCAATTTCTTTGTCGCTCTTTAACATATTCTATTATATATTTGTTTAAATAGATGTTAGACCGGCGAAGAAAGATAATCAATCCAGTGGAGGTGGAGCAAAACAGTTAGGAGGACCTAGTAATCAATTTAATCCTGGCAGTAATCATTTCAATACTGGAAATGATCCTTTTAACAGTGGAAATCAGAATTATGGAGGAAATTCAAATTTCATTGCAAATCAGAGTTTTGGTTGTGATCCACAATTAAATGATAGCCAAAAAGGAAATAACATGCAGATACGAGGTAGTGGGAATGATCAGTTTGGAGATGGAAGTCAGATCAGAGATAATGTAAATGACCAGTTTGGAAATCAGAATAGAAACAATGGGAGTGATCAATTTAACATGATGCAGAATAAAGGAAATAATAATTTTAATCCAAACAATCAGAATAGGAATGCTGGGGATCAATTTAATCAAAATAGAGGTGGCAATCAATTTGGACCGGGTGTAAATCAAAATAGACCTGGTGGAAATCAGAATCGTAGTGCAAATAATCAAAATCAAAGTGGTGGTGGAAGTGGTATAAATAGTAGTGGAAGTGGACGGCCCAGAGGTACCCGAGGTGGAAAAAATCGAAATAAAAATAGAGATAATTCAGGTGGGAATAACTTTAGAGATCGTAGTCCTATTAATAGAGGTACTCGGTTAGATGATAAAGGTGGTAGAGATTGGGAACATAAACAAGGAGATAGATTAAGAGGAAACAATTTTGGCAGAGATTCATTCAATGACAGCAATAATCGTTATGAAGATTTCAAAAATTCTACTTCTAGAGATATGAATATGAGTTTTAAGTAAGTCAATATATTTAAATTTTTTTTTGTTCTTATACAATAATTATTATTAATATTAATATTAACGTGTTTTGTTTAACAGTAATACGAGTTCAAATGAATATTCAAATGTAACAACTGAAAAGAATGACTGTGAAATTATTGTTGTTAACAAAGCATTAACGTATGTATAAAAATTTATTGCGCTTTATGGTTGTTGAATGCTTTTGTAATTAATTTTCCTAAATAGGGAATATGCTGAAAGTATCGAAATGAGATTGAAGAAAATTGGATTAACAGTTGATTTGTTATTTCCAAATGAAGATGTGCTTCTTAGTAGAGTTTTAGGGAATATTGCGAGTCGAGGATGTTTATATGCAGTTGTAGTTACACCTATTAATCAAGAACATCATTCCCTTACTTTAAACATTCTTCACGGTTTACCTCAAGGTACGTTTCTTAATAACTTTATTGAAATCTGAATTGTTGATATAAGTGTTGGTATAAGTTCATTTATTTGTACAGAACATAGAAATATGCTCGTTGAAGATGCTATTACTTTAATATCACGAGATTTTGCTAATTATAAAGCTGGTGGACGATCGGTTCCACTGAATACACCTTTCGCAAACGAACGGCATCCTGATGCTATACAAGTTCTTTTAAACATGCTGGCTGATAATCATCAGTTAACAGTATTGCAATATGATCGTGTTATAAAATATCTCGAAATTAAACGTGAAGAACAAGTGCAAGTTGAATTGGGAGATGTAAAAGATTTACCATCCACAACTACGACGATAACAGTCAGTGATCCAAAACAAGCTGAATTACAATCTAGGATACTTAATATTCTAAACAGTAATAAAACAACGTCATCTGCACCAGCACCTAGTCCAGTTCCAGCCCCAACCTCAACGCCAGCGCCCGTTCCGCCAGCTACTTGGGGAACAGGTAAAATTTGTGTAATTTTACTGTCTAGGTTTAAACAAAATATAAATATATTAAACAATCAACGATTTTCTATCAGATTTCTATTATTATAACATAAATTAGGAAAACAAACATTTTAAAAGTTAATGTTTTTAAAAATTTATGTTTTTAAAATTATCAGTTATCAGTTTTTATTTCAGCGATTTTTCGAGATAATTAATTTATTAGTTAAAAATTCCTTTGATATGGAATTGAAAAGATAGACATATTATATATGTAGTAATCTATTATGTGCTTTTACTGCATTATATAATATGTATTTTCATTTGTTGCAAAAATACTGCTAGCGTTCATTCGTTACGTAAAAAGAGCAGTATAAAAATAAAAATTATATCGCGTTTTCAGTCCGAGGAAACTTTTACACTTTTAAAAGTGAGTGTGTCTTACAGATATTAGATCACCTGTTTCTTATTTTCTTTGCCGGATTTGTTTATGTATTTTTCATGAACATGCCCAAAGAAAATGGTTTAAATCGCGTATGTAAATTACTAACGAAATTGACGGTATTGACGAACGAACCTAAAAATTTTGTCTAAAAACTTTTTAGACAAATAATTTCAGGTAAAATTTTAATAAAAATATTGAGTACGAGTGATCAAAAAAGACGAAACGAACTTCGTACGCTTTGGGTTTCTGATCAAGTTCTTCGTGCGTGTAGTGCTACTAGTGTCGCTTGCCATATAATCTCCAGTGATCAAAGCGAACGAACTTCGAATATATATATTGCTGGTATTACAACTGCTAACTTCATGAGTACATCATATTATGCCAGCAGCATCAACTGCGACAACAGCATCCACAACAACAACAACTACTACTGGAGTTTCACCGTCACCTCTCCTAAACGATCCAACAGTTCAGAAGGCACTTGACAGTCTGTTGCAAGGCAATTTACTCAAAAGCATCGGCGATCAGCAACCGACTACAGCTTCAACACCTCTGTTTGCTGCTTTTCCGAATATCGGCCGATTTTAATTTATTTCAATTTTATTTATCATATAACGAATAATTGGGGATCCCGATCTCCTTTATTTTTCTGATATTTATACTCGTTCTGGCGAATAATCACATTTCGTTTAATGACATGAAAATTTTATGACATTTGATAAGGAATTAGAATACTGGCAGAATTACATTCAACAAATAATTGTGATATTTGCCTCTGATGATAAACTGTTAGTATGCTTTTATCTGTATTAAAGAAAGTATATTTTAAATATAAAATTTATAATGTTTTGTAAATTCTATAGATATTATTTGGTTCTATTTACAAATATGGTTTACAAATGTTTGTTTATATAATGGTTTAAGTCTTTCATTTTTAGGAAAGAAATATTTTAGTTTATTATTTTCAGTTATTAATATAAATAACGGGAAAACTAAATATTAGATATCTAGAAAAGTTCTTGCCGTTTTTGCATACGAAAAACATGAATTTATTCATCAAAATATGAACCTATACATTTTATAACTTTTTCCTAACGGTTTAATATTTTATAAATGCTGTTTTTATAAAAAAAATTTTGTTTTACTGCGGAAATACTTAACATTTCTTTCAGATCACTTTCATTGAACTAATTGCCCCTCATATGTTTATCTACTCAGAGATAAGTAAAAATCTGTTGGTAAGAGATCTGACGAATATGGTGGATGAGACAATCTCCCATTCAAATTTCACTATCTTGTTATGAGTCATCTGCTATATGATATCGGGTGTTACTTTGAAGAAATTGTCTTCTTGTTTATCAATGTCGGCTATTTTTTTCTGTAAATTTTCTTGAACTTTTTCTAACTTATAACAATAGATGCTAGCAGTAATAGCTTTTCCACTTCTAAAAACTCATTGTCAATTAGAAAAATCTAAAATTGTAATCGAGAAAAGTTGGCAAGAACTTCTGAGTAATTAATATTAGAAAAAATGTAATTTTCATTGTGAGTTCTAAATTTCTTCTACTTCATCTTTTCTATTACTATAAAATAAAGCAAGGTTTCAATATACTTTAAATATATTAGCAGATTCAAAATATAATCGAATATTATATTTTATTGGTAATTTAATAGTTTCTTATAATAAAGAGTATTTCAATATGTTACATATTGAAATAGTAAACAACAATTTCATTAAATAATTCACTATTTTTAACTTTATATATAGAGTTTATTATATTATAATTTTAATCAATTGCCATGATTACTTCTATTGCTTTTGCAGTTTTTATTAGTTTCATAAAATAATTACAGATGAAATTCAGAAATCAGATTAGCAAGAAGTCATTTAAACTTGAATTTTTCAAAATTCTCGAATCTTTTGTTGATGTAAAAATATACTATATATATGTGAGTATAAAGCATTTGATTTTTATAATAAATTATGTAAGAAACGAAATATATCAATTTCTCTTATTGCATTGTTGAAAATACATTCACATTATGGTGGAAATTGTTTGTTTAATTTTGTTTACTCAATAATTTCATTATCTGTGGTACATTTTTTTCAAATTTGTATATTATTATATATATTTCTAGTTTGAATATTTACACAAATGTATTGTGTATAAGAAGCTATGCACATTTTCTTAGAAATTAGATAAATATCATGTATAACTTCAATAAAATGTTTTTAGGAATATTTCATGTCTTTCATTAATGTAATACAATGTTGAGGCTTCTCTTATGGATCTAAAAACAAAATATATGTATATAAAATTGAGTTCCAATTTTAAATGCTTAACACATTACATTTTTACATACCCTTACAGCCAACCAATTAATTTTTATAAAGCAGTCAACCAAGTAATTTTTATAAAGCAATTTAATTTATAGATTTATAAGCAGTTGGATTAGATTGATAAGCAAGAAATAAATGTAAAAAGTGAAGCATAGATAAAAGTTATTTGCAGAATAAATAAGCATAGTATGGTAAAAACTCACACAGGTAAGCAAAACTATATATATAAATCAATATAAGCAAATTCACTGTCAGTTTACTTAAATTTACCTAAATAATAACTCTTCAGGTATTGTTCTGCATGTACGATTTCTTCACATGGCTGGGATACCTCCTTATATAATATATCAAGAACAGACTTTACTGCATCAATGTCATACATATTTTTCATTAATCTTTGTTTATAAGGTTTTAATCTTTCTACAAGTTCCTTATTTTTACTAATAGAACCAATGTGTTTTTGTAAAATTTCTTCGTATAAAGGCCAGTTAAATGCGCACGCGATACAATCGCATTCAAAGAAATAGTCTTGCATTATCTTTTCTCTTCTTTCAGATCTTGTCATGTATGCGTATGCAGCACCATAATTTGTGAATATTTGATCTCCAGGATATATTGGTTTTAGAGCGCGAGTAATCATTGTCAGCCCTTCAAAATGGCGAAATGTATTTGGTGCACAGGAATGATTGTACAAGCTGTGTGCTATATATAATCCTGAACCTGTTTTAATTCCTGGCTCTTGCTGCACCTAAAAAATAAATTATAATATAAATATGTTTTATAATAATCTTTATCTTATTAAACTATTTATTTAATAATCTTTAATTATGTATTATCTTTTAAATAAATTACTGAAAAACAATTGGAAGACATTATAACACAGGCACGAAACATAAGGCTGCCAGAAAATATGATGTTTGGATAGTTGCTGATATCTTTTAATTGATCCACTTCATATTTATTACAGAAAAAATTAGTCTGTGTGGCTAAGAGGAGAGCCGCTAGAGCTGAGATACAAGCAAAAGCACTAATCCCAATAAGTGGTCGCGTTGTCATATTGGTAGCAAGACTTAAAGCAGATCGTGCACTACTACTGTCCAATATGCCTTCATTGGTAAATCCTGCAGTTCTGTTATCTACAAAAGCAAAATAATTCATAAAGTTTAAGAATAAATAGTATGTCATAATTTAATACTTATGTTTTTTCCTAAGAATTTTTAACTCCCTTATCATTCAAATCTTGTCTTACATTTTTTTCATTTTAGCAATAAAATATGCTCTCCCTTACCTGGATTAGATTCAGCTATTTTCATGTCTATATGCAGTTCATCAAAATTTTTGCCCTTTGATGTTACTACAATCAAAAATCTAATAATTTTGGTAAGCATCCGTATTTTATCTTTATCAACATTGAGTAAATTTCCTACTAATGCCATAATTGGACATTCTATTTGATGAGCCATTTCCCAAGCTAATTTTCTACAGTTTTCTGAACAATATTGAGAAATAGGGCAGTATGGGCAAGGAATTAAATTATAACTTCTTGATAAACAGTGATGACAGTGTGTATAATATCTGTAATTTATGATATTTGTAAGTAACAATAGATATGTTAATATAAATAGATTTACCTTTGCGTATAAATAACATAAGCATATGGATTTTCTATAGTAACTACATCCCCTGCTTTAAATTCTTTTGTAGCTACTAAATGACGTCCATATTTTTCAGAAAAGGAAATCTTGATACCATTACTAACAACAGGTGTCTCTTTATTTGGACCATGAGCTAACTTTAAAGCACCTTCATCAGCTAAGTATCTTGGCAGTTTTTCTTTGTCATTAACTTTCAACACTTCATTGCAACCATTGCTTGAATCTTTCTTTTCATTAATGTTAAAATTATTACTTATATCTTCAGAAAGTTTCACCTTTCCATGTCTATATCTTACAACTCTAGGTTCTTCATTTTGTTTTTCTAATAAACACATATTTGCAAGCGTTTCTGTATCAATGTGATTATCCTTTGCAAGTTGCAGCCTTTTCTTAATTTCTTCAATAGCCTTGGCTGCTCTCTCTTCCAATTTTTTCCTTTTTTCCTCTGGATATCCAAGGCTTAAAGCAGCATCAATATCTATCAAACATTCTTTGAACATTTGTTTTCTATATAAAGCAGCAGACCGATTAGCATAAGCGTACGACATAAGTTCATTGTCAATGGCATATGCCAAACTCATTGTATAATATTTTATAGCTTCATTATCATCACCCATTACAAAATGTTGATTTCCTATGGATTTTTCAACTATGATAACTGAAAAAATTATTTATATTCATTTATAGTATGTAAAATATATTTACTACCTTCCTCTCTATAGTGAATAGACTCTTCTTCATTTTTTACTTCAGGAATTAATTCTGGTAATTGGGATTTTACCATGTTTTGTAAAATATGACCTATAAGAGCTTCACATTCTTTTTGTAAACCATATCCTGCATGTGATATTTTAATTTGTTTTAAATTTAATACTAATTCCTTTGCTATATCCATATTGGAAAAATATTGGAAAGATCTTGCTACATAAAAAATATATTTCATAACATTTAAAAGTTTTTATAGTAATTAATAAATAAAAAAGATCAATTTATTACAAAAATTTTTTTTTTATATGGATATATATTATATATTAAAAAAAAAGAATGAAGATAAAAACCTGATTATTTGTATATTTTCTTTACACTAGATAAGAAGGTACTGAATAGACTGTAGTTAACTATGTACTAGCTGAAGCAAAACTGAGAGGTGAAACTAAAATTACCTCAAGTAAATTGATAGAGGGAAGCAGAAGCTGTATATGTAACTAAGGTTCTGAATTATTTATTAAATTAGATAAATTACTATGTAAAAATAATGTAAGAATTACTATATAAGAATTAAGAAAATTCAATTTTTACATTTCATATATATACTTAAATCTTTTCATTTATGTATGTAAAAAAAAAAGGAAAAATTTGTAACAATTGAATTTTTTAAATAAGCAAATATGTTATACGTGCTGTATATATTTCAAATTTTTTATTTCAAAATCCTTTGTTGATATTTTTTTATTTCACTATTATTATATTTTTTAAGCATAACTTGTAAAAATAATTATAATATAATTAAAATATTACGTATTAACAAGTAAAATTGTAAAAAACTTAAAATTTACAATTACTTAATTAATATAAACGTTCAAAATCTTTTTTTCAGCCATGTTGCATGAGCACTTTATAATGAGAACAATTTGGCACAAGTCCAGATGTAAAATTGCTAGAGTAAACAGTCTTTAATTAGATATACATATGTGTTATGTGAGTAGTAATAATTACAAAAATAATAATTGGAATTTAATATAAAATATAAATTTTTCTAAAGAGATATAACAAATGATACTGTAATAACTGTGTACTATAACAATGATCATCAATATATTATGAGAAAGATAAAAACAATATTAAGAAACAATTTGTGAAAAAAATTGATTAATTTATTAGAAGCTTGTTACACAACAATTAATTAACACATGTGATATGCAAAATGCATAAATTTGTAATATGACATGAATTATATTCGTTGAAAGACATAAGATTTTAATAATTTAAGAATTTTATTTCTCATTATAAAAGGAAGTATATGTATGTTTCCGATTAAATTAATCCTCTTCTGCTTCTAAATTTATACGACTGCCAAATTTTGCATATAGTTGTACTTTTAATTGACTTATAATATTCTTCAAATCAATACATTTGCTTTCCAAATTTAAGATTTCCTGTTTCTTTTTTTCTTTAATCTCATCTAAATAATTCTAAAACCAGGAATGAAAAGAAGAATATTAAATACTTCATTAAATAATAACAATTGTAGTTAAAAAATATATAAAGTATACTTTAAGAGTTATATACCTGTGTTTTTTCCAAGTTCTCATGAATAAAAACTTCACCAATGTAGTATGGAATTTTTGCATCTTGATCTAAGAGGATTATTTCATCACATGCATCTTCTAAGTTTTTTAATTCGTTCTGCAAAAGATAGTACAATATATTCGTATAAAATCATACATTTCCAAATAAGGTTGCAAGTGGTAGGAATTAAGGATTAGCATTACATTAATTATTACCTGTTTAATTTTCAATTCTTCCTTTATGTCATCCATTTTAGCATTTTGTCTTGCAAATTTATTAATTTTTTGTTGATCCTCGTACGTAATATAAACATCGGAATCCTATAATTCAAAATAGGTTAGATCTATATATTTGAAACATTTATATTAGAATTTGTATTAGAATTTACCGGTTGAAATCCAGTTTGAACATTTTTTCGCGACATATTTTTTAATTTTAATTTTACACCGTTTAACTCTCGCTTAAATAACAATCTTGAACGTCAAACACAACTCATGACTGACGATTATTTCGTAAAGCTAAAATCTTTAAAAGCGAAATAACATTGGAGATGCGTCAGTAACTATTCTTTTTAAAGGCGCTCGAGAAATTTTGTTTCAATAATATGTATATATATTCAAGTCAAACTATTTTTTTTTTAACTGTATATTAATTATTAAAATTATAAAAATCAGTAATAACAAATACCATAAATTGAACTACATAATATATACATTATTCAAATTTAATTTTTCATTTTTGTATTTCACATTATTAATTTCATGCAATATAAAATTTATTAATACATAAGAAACAAATAAGTGGAAAAAGTATATTATCGTTCAACATACAGAAATAAATATATATGAAAAAAAAATGTTATGAAGGTCCCACCGAGATTTGAACTCGGATCGCTGGATTCAGAGTCCAGAGTGCTAACCATTACACCATGGGACCTTATAAAATTAGATTTATTATAAAATATTTAAACAATGTTTTACAATAATTTGAAATAAATTCAAGAAATATTACCTTATTTGCAATAACTTTCGTTGTATGTACAATTAATCATGAAAAATGGAAAATTTATGAAACAAAATATTTATTGTTATACAGACAGATATATATCAGATATATATCTGATATATATCTGATATATAATTATACACTATATATTATTTTTTAACTTATATAAGATATAAATTACAAAAGTTACTTATATTTTAAAAATAATATAAAATATTACATTATTTATAATTTTTATATATAGATAAAATATCTATACATCAATTTTCTTATTCTTTATCATTATGAACTATTTCTATTGTTGAATGTTCATCTGTATTTGTTTGATCAGAATCTGTCTCTTTTTTTTCTTCGAAACAAGCATCCTCTTTCTTTTGGTTTACATCATTTGTGGATTCCTTGGTATTACATATTTCTAGTAAATTGTACTTTTTAAATTTATAATAATTTGGAGCAACAGACATAAAACAAAAACCACGTATCAATTCAACAATTACAGCAAGTTCTGGATTTTTTAGATCTGCTTTATTCCCAGGATTCTTTTTGTTGATTATTTCTGCCAAGTCTTCAATTATTTCATTTCTACGTATATTATTATTACTGTGACGACTGCAACAAAAGTAAATTTATACATATGCTAAAAATTCAATAAGAAATTTAAATATTAAAGAACATACTTGAATATGATACTAAATGTTTTTGGTTCTTGTGCAAAATATTTTTCAAGCATTGCATCTGCTTTTGATTTGATGTCATTCATGTTTGCTTTACAAATAATTTCAATTGGAAGTAATCTCAATAAAAATCTTGTACGCTGTTGTTTTGTGTTATTTAATTCAGTGATAATTTTAGTAACCAATTCTAATTGATTTATTAAGGTACTTCTTATAAAAATTACATTCTTAACACCAGTGTCAACTACCTAATAGAAAAATTATAAATATTTAATGTTTTCTGAAGACAAAAATATATCTGAAAAATTTACCTGAAATCTCCTAGCATTTATTGGCTTTGAATATTCTGCTTTTAATTTATTAATTTCTTTGTTTAATGTATCTGAAATATCATCTTCATTGTCACTATTTTTTGTTTTATTCACAGAATCATCTTTTTCAGATTCTTCTTTGGCCTCATCATTATCCTTGAATTAAAAAGAATTTGATATTCTTGTATTTATACATGTTTATATCATTGATGAATTTCAGTATACCTTTGTGGTATCTGGTCCATAAATTTCATCAGCAAATTCATTAAGTAATTTATAAGCATCGCGTACACATTCTTTCTCAGAAAAATTGCACGTGCATAAGAAACCTTTCATACCTGATTCCAAACTGAATTGTTTACGCTTTTTTTGGTTATAACTGTTATGAAAATAATTCTTTTTTCGTTTTTGAACACTCATTTTTGTTAAAAGTTCCTTTATTATAAATTCTCTTTTATTTACAAGAAAACGAGAATATTTCCGAAAAAATATATCTTGTATAATAAATATTAAAGGCACTTCTGTGGTACAATTTACCAATGTTTACCAATGGAGGATTTTAAAATCTAACAGTAAGATTTTTGGCATTAGATTTTATATATCAGATACTTATGCTTTTATACATTAAAAGATTTTTATATTAATTATTTAAAACATGAAACTAATTATACTTTTTAAACGATTGATCCATATATAACGTATGCAATTATACCTTCATGAAACTAAAATATTTTGTACCACTCGATTTGAGAGCCCTCTAACTAGCTATGTACAGATGTACTTTATCATTACCAATGATAGTACATTATATATATATATATATATAGCAATAATAGTACATTATATATATATATATATATAGCAATGATAGATTAATTATAATACATAATTTATATAGATATATAATGTATAAATAAAAAATAAAATAAATTTGCAATAATAATATGAGTCATTATAAAAAATGTAATTCTTTATTTTCCTGTATAAATATTAAAGATATGTACAATTGTAAAAAATATGTAATAAAGATGTATTATACTAAAATATATGAAATATATTACTATTTAAAGAAGATCTTTCATTTTAACATTTCGACGGACTGCATTGCTAAAACCTTCTTTATATTTATACCATACACTACTTTTCGTTAAAAAGTTTCTCGAATTGATTGATTCCTTATCCAATTTTTTATGTTTATCTTGATTGACTGTAATAGTTCTTCCAAAGAAATCCTTATATTTCTGTAATTTTTATTGTTTGTAATATTTGTATTGGAGAAGAAAAATTAAATACCATCAAGTAACAAAAACCAAATGTTATTACTATATCTTTTGTTTCCATTTGAAATTTTTTAGATTGTTCTAGATCATTAGGTTTGCTAGTTGCATTATTGGATATCTTGGCAGAATCTGATGTTGCAGAATTGGTTGTAACATTATGATTTGTAATACTTTTTTTATTTTGAGCAGATTTTGTTATACTTTTTATTGCATTTTCAATTCGTCGTAATCGTTCAGCCTCTAACTCTTGAACAATTATTTGCTTTACTGCATATATGAGTGTTCGGCGATACTTACAATCCGGAAAAATGCCTATTTCAAATATATTACTGGAAAAATATAATTAATTTTATAAATTTTATTTACGAGTGCAGACTATACCTTTCAACTTACGGATCTAGTTTATAGTCATAACTTTCATCAAGATTCTTTTCTTGAATAAATGTGAGGCCAAAATCAATTAAAACATTTACTAATCTATTAATATCATTCTTTTCTTTATCTGAGTGTAAATGTCCAGAAACTATCCGTAATTGTGGAGATAGTAAATCCGGGAGAAATGGAGCAATATCAACTGTTAAAATTATGCTATTATGACCACTATTTCGTTGAACAGTAGTTAGAATACCAATATTCCTTGCATGTTTCTGATTCATCTAGGAAAATGGAATTTTTAAATTAAATTTCAGATATCATATTTTTGTCTCCAGTATGTGATTCTTACTTCATATACAATAAAAGGATAAGATAATTTGATGTTTCTTGCTTTTGCAAAATATAAATGCCAGGTAACGAATGCATAATTTAGGTAAGGCATAATAGACCAAGTTTGAAGACTTCCAACAAGAAATAAAATTTCATCAAAAAATTGAAACCATTTCAAACATAGTGCTATATAATTCAATTTATCACTACATATTTCTGGATAATTATGGAATATGCCTTGAGCTAATTTTTCTGATTCGCCTGAAATAAAAAATAAATATTACTAATATTTTAAAAATTCGTATTGGCAATATAACTGAAAATAATTTACCATTTTGCACAGTCTTTAATACAAGCTGCACTCTTTCTGAAAGAGGAAGTATACCATTCCTATTCATAGGTATTTTCAATATTTGTTTCCACGAGTCAAACAATCCTTTCCTACTATCTTTTAACGTAAGAGATAAATTATCTCCTAAATTAACGCCACCCATATATTGTAATGCTCCTATACATGATCTAATGTCACAACCAGATATTTCTACTAATCGTAAAAGTGCATCGGGATTTACTTTTAATTTTTCCTTTTGTGACACTTCCATTAATCTATCTACTAGTTTAGTAGCACTTACTTCTGGGACGGATATAATAAGGGCAGCTGCTCTCAGAGCTCTGTAACATACATGAAGTAAATATTTGTGCGTAGGAATATATGAGTTATATACGTGTGTGAAACTAAAAATTTACCTTAAGGAAGGAGTATATGGTTCATTACAAATACATATTATAGGGCGATGACAAACATGTTTATCAGTTTTTGTTTTATCTTTCTTTCCTTTTGGAATTAATTTACCTTGCACGAATTTAAGAAGTAACTCGATTGATGCAGTTGGAGCTCCATCAATTTCATCTAAAACTAAACAATTAGGCCGAGGATCGTTTCCCATTACCGCTTTCATTTGTGTTGATGCAAGGAGGACTTGTCTGTATTTAAAAATACTTATCTATATGCATTTGTACATAACATTACTTGGATATTAATTTTAATTATAAATTATTATACTAAATGCTAAATTATTATACTAAATTATAATTATAAATTATTATACCTAAATGCATCTGGACTTCTTTCATCACTTGCATTAATTTCTACTACATTATAACCAGCATGTTTAGCTACTAAGTGTGCTAGTGTAGTTTTTCCTAATCCAGGTGGCCCACTAAGTAGCGCAATCCTCTGAATTGGAAAACCTTTACTATCTAATTCTTGAAAAGGTTTTTCATCCACAAACTTTCTATTTCTAAATTTAAAATTTAATTTTTTTTTCTTATTATCAATATAATTTCGGTTAAATACTATTTTATCCCAAAGTTTTATCCAATGCAATAATTGTCTATTCACACTTTCATCTGAAAGTAACTCTATATAAGATTTAGGTCTATATTTATCAACCCATAGTTCATCATCTTCAAGTGTTTTTGTAACAGGAAGGTGGGAAGTTTCACAACTAGCGCGTTTAACATTTTGTACTATCTATAAAAAGACTTTAAATTCTTACAATATTGATATGATTAAAGTTATTGCAATTAGTTGAAACAAAAGATATATGTTTTAAAGTTACTTACAATTTCTTCAGCCTCAGTTTTAAGTTGACTATATGGTACTGACAATAAGTTAGAAATTGAATGTGTATTTGTTTTTATTTTACTTTTTTCATCATTTTTTACTCTTATATAAATACGTTGTGCATCACGTAGCCTAGTTAGAGCTACAAAATTCCAACGTGGAACTCGCAATGAAATTGACTCTCTTTTGCTACAATCATTAAGCAATTAGTACATTAATACAAAATCATCAAACAATTTGTACATTCTTTTGTAACATACTCTTTAATATATTTTCTGTTAACAGAAACTCCTCTACTATATTCATTAAACTTTTCCCTTGCATCTAAGACTGCTTTAATAATTTCTTGAGGTTCATCCCATCGTGGTTTCTTATCTTTTGGTTCCTGACCTATAATATCAATTCTAATTCAAATATATACATATATAGAATATACACATATGAATGTTTTAATTTATATGAAATATATACCAAGATCATTCGTATCTAATATATCTGAAATATCCCCAAAAAGTTCATCATAATGTCTTTTTTTTGTAATATCTGTATCAAAATCAACATTACTAGTACTAGGAATAACTTCGCTAGTGCTAGGAATACATAATTCATTGTATTTACTAGATGTAAGAGCATTTAATTCTTCATGTACATTCGGTCTGGAAATATTTAATTTATCTCTTTTCTGTTCTTCTTGCGAATTTTCAATTTTTTTAGACTCTGTGCCCTTCTTCTTTTCAAGTTCTAAAAGCAATATATTTAAATTTGTAATTATGTTTAGTAATGTAATATAAGCAAGTTTTATTAATTCATGCTCAGTAAAGAAAGAACAATTTGATACATAAACTAATTAGTAGAATAAAATTCATTGCTAAATAAAATTTCTTATTTCTGCTAAAAATACTTTTTAATCATTTATTTAAGTCTATAAAGTTGTGACAGTGAGGTTATAATTTATATACCTTCAATTTCTTTTAAAATTTCATATTCTTCCTCGTGAACTAAATCAAATTCTTCATTGGGATCAGGAAATTCAGAATCCATAATTTATTTCGGGATATTTATAATTACAAATACTGTAATTATTAGGTACTAATATTTTTCAAACTTCTTACTATATATTTTTGTGGACTCTATTCTATTATATATTCCGCGCATTTTTTCGCGGCAATTTTAAATGCCTAAGCAAATGAATTGTAACTTGCTTGCAACTAAAGATATTAACATGTACTTAATTATATATTTATTTATTTTATTTTATTAATTTAATTTATTTTATTAATTAATTTCTTATTAATTTTTTTTATCGATGAAAATTTTTATTCATAAAATGATCCAATTTTTATTATGAATTAATTTAAACGCTATAATAGAAAACTATTAAATCAATTTTTGCAGCTTTTTTTCAAAACTTTTTGCGTCATTTACTATCTGCTGTCTCTTGTCAAGTATGCGCTCCGCATTTAGAATGAAGAATTGTTTCAGAAACAGTGCTTCGAATAATAAAGACCATTTCTGGTATGCAGAATGAATTCTGTTGACGTCACGGTAACGTCGAAACCTGTAAATTATAACAGTTGCACACTTAATAAATGTAAATGAAAATAATACATTACGTTTAGATGTAAAATAAATTAATATTAAATATTATTTTCGTTGCACATGTTTATGATTAGAAATAATTTCTATGTAATATTTTAAATATCTTGTATATTTTCACTGCTAGCAGATGTATGTACTTAGGTTCAGTAAGTGTATTTTCGGCATTCGTAACCATACGTCAGTCTGTGGCGTGGTGTCACGCGAGTAACAGTAGAGGGTAGAGTCTCGTTTTGTCCAGAAATAGTATCTAGCGTGAGATACTAATGTTTTGAGTTTGTGCATGACTATAAATATTTTGAGTGCTATTAAAATCAGGCTGTAATGATCTTAGGTAATGTTGTAATTAAATATAAATAGTCATATGTTCCTAATTACTTTCAAGGATGAGGTATTGATGTCACTGTAAGTTTCAAGTGAACTTTAATAAATTTACAAGTAAATGAATAAGCGTTACAACAAAAAATTGAACAATTTGGTTATGAAAGGTTATGGAACATCAGTCAAAACATCAGTTTCAATTCCTAGGAGCAACCCTCCAAAAATTAAGACAGTGACCCACTGTGAATTCAGTTTCGTTTAAATTTCGATCAATACCGTTCTGTTTATGTCTCCTAGACGATACTGTTCCCCGATAATCAAACTATCACGTGCTTTGTCAAGAAACGAGAACTGGATAGATAATTAATTTCGCAATAGTACTTTCATGTATGTACATAAGCTGTAAATATTGATAGTAAATTGAGAAATGTTTGAAAAATAATTTAATGTAAAGTAGTGCCATGAAAAATTTTGAATCGATTTTATGTATGAATTGCAAGCTGACATGTTCAAATTCAACGATCAAATTTTTACCAATTATTTAATTCTTGTTACAATAATGAATTCTTTATGAAGTTGTTATTTCTATTTTTGTACCTCGTTGTACGTCACATGCAATAGCGTACTGTTTGCTTTCAGAAATCCAGTTTTATAATCTATTGTTTGGAGTTTCCTTTCCTACTTCTGGGAACTTCTTATTAATCTACGATAGTTTTACGTGACCTCGATTCATGCAACAATACATAAATTTACGGTATATTTGTACTGTAATAATGTTTCCGGTGATTTCGTAATTTTGTGTTTCTTTTCTTTGTACCATGGAAATGTTTATTTTATTTTTTATGAAGAAAAAACTCTTCCTTTTATTACATCTGTTTATTATATTATACTTTAATCTTCTCAAATTATATATCTTTCTGTGAATAAATTCTTTTTGTGAATTGCACTCTTAACTTAATTATCTAGAAGATATTTAGACACAGATTTTTCTTTATACCAACAGGTATAAGCGGAACATGATACTATCTATCACATGTGAGTTCAGATTATCCAGGATTATGTGTGAATATATGCACTTTAGTTGTAACGGAAATTGAGTGCACGTTCCGTGGAATGAAGCAGCATGCAGACCCCTTTATCCAAACAAACAGTTGGCTGTATTGGGAAATGCACTTCTGGACTGAGTATCGATGAATTGGATCAGATAACAGATAACATACATAAAACTCTGAATCACCCGCGTGGAAGGGAGATTTTTAAGAAATTTTTGGAACGACGTGATCTCAGGGACAATCTCGAGTGTTTGACACTATACGAAGTATGTTTCGAGATTGTCGCAGAGGAGACGAACTTCTCGTAAGTAATCGCATAATGTGATAGTTTAACCATCAGTCATTCTCATTAAAGAAGACAGATAAATGATAAACGAATTTTCAGGCAATCGAGGAGGGAGACCTCGCTGGAATCGTTAATCGAGAAAGTCATGCAAGTGAAAGAAATGGCTGAAGATTTGGATGGTGTACCACAGATAGACATGGCACTTCTAGAACGTTTCAATGAAGCATTGAACAGCGATTCGAGAACATCTTTGCTCAGTATATTGACAGATACGAGAGATCGGTGTCGCGATCATTTAAAACGCGTTCATGAAAGTTTCAAACAGTATGCGTCGGAGCCGTGTCCATTGATTAAATAATCAATAAATATATATATATTTTTTTCTTTTGTCTTTGAACTTTAGGTAAAGTTGTTCCTTGTTCTTTCAACGAATTTCTCAGAAGTTAGTATGTGAAACAGGTTTCACATATCAATGTACATACATATATCTATGATGTTGACCAATAACATATATTTTCTGTACATTTTTTTACTCAGTGAAGTTATATACATATGTGTAATTATTTAAATTACGTAATTTAATAATAAAAAAAAAAAAGAAAACAGCAGAAGTTAATGATTTATATTTGTCATAATTAAAATTTTATCTCCAGTATGACAGTAAGTATAGCGACATCCAAATTGCTTTCTCATTCGTGTCGGTGTTCAGTTGATCGGTACATGTTGGATATCTTAACTATGATATGTACCGAAAATATTTACGTGGATGACTCTCGTGTGCAAACAGTTATTCTAAAAATAAATAACATACGCGATACCATGAAATCTTTGGAGGAAAGTCTGATGATCACGCGAAGGTTAGAAACCGAGCAATGGCTGCGACATTCAGATTTGAAAGCAAAGAACAAAACGATGATGGACGATCTCAGAAAAGCGAACAAACTCAATAAAAATATGCTCAGTATGCGGGGATGGGTTAAATCGTGAGGATAATCGATAGAGCAAATAATGCAACTAATGTGAATGACGATACCATTTGTAGATTTATTTCGGCAGAGTGTCACGGATATTCGTTTCGGAAGCGATGTTACGCTGCCGGAATCATTGAAGAAAGAAGTGCAAAGATCTTGGCATCAAAAGTAATATTATTAGTCACTTGCATTCAGAAATAAGTGGAAGAAATGTAATGTTAAAATATGTTAAACTATTAAAATATGTTAAAATATTAAAAATGTTAAAATATTAAAAATGTTAAAATATTTACTAGGTACGATGCTTTGTTAGCATGCAACGAGCAATTAAAGCAGCAGCTTAATTCCCGGAATTTGCTGCTTAAAGAAAAAACACGAGAGGTAGTTTTCATGGAATTTAGCAAGTTTGTGTCAATCTTGACGATGATCTTCTGTTAAAAAATTTAGATCAACGGCCTTCAACGAAAATTATTAACGCTTGGCGACAGACTCGTCGAACGAGATGAAGCCGTGGAAAATATTTGCAAAAAATATTTGTCTCTGAAACAGCGGAAGGACGAACGAGAGGACTTGTTACGTGCATCCACTGAAACGTCGCAGGTTGATAATAATTGAAAAGCTAAACATCAGACAGAGGATATTCAGTAAACAGTTTAAAGAAAATAATTTATGTATCAGGATGCACCGAAGAAGTCAAACGGCGAAGCTTCGAGAACAGATTCTGGAATATCATTTAATAAAGACGCGTTATTAAGACGAGAAACGCGGCGTAGCGATCGTTCGGCTTACAAAAATTGTTTTCTAAAGATCCTTCTGCAGAAAGCGAAACGTAGTTGCGAGACTAGTGTCACTGCTTTCGACAAAACCGCGTAATCAATTTTCCCTGTATGATGTAAGTAAGCTTCGTTTGCTTTACGAAAAATTCGAAACGAAGAAAGCTGCGAAAGATTAAATCCGTAAAACCATACAGTTGCACGGTTCTTAATGGGTTAAGAAGAAGAAGATCGTAGGTCGCGTTTGCAAACATTAGGGACAATGTTTAAGAATAGCGGAATTATGCAAATGTAAAGGTAATAACTGGATAAAAGAGGCACGATAAATCGAGTTAGCGACGATCGATGACACCAAGTGCTTCACTATAAAAGCAACAACTCCATTCAAGCCAGTCTTACTTGGTGCTGATCAGCACTGACAAAAAAAAACACAGGGTTTGCCTGGATTGCTATTGATTATCATGTAAGTCGATTCATTCCCAAAGCGATTGATAAATTTGATCTGATACTTGATACTAATTTTGTTCACCTTTAACTCGTCTCTTTGTAGGTGTGGCAAATTATCGCGGCTGAGGACAAACATAGAACGATAAACATATAAAAAATCTAAACGAGATTTCTCAGTTTTTTTT